ACGGCCGTAAATTCGCCGTATTTCCATGGACCGTATTACGACCGTAAATCGCCGTGTCGTGTACGGCCGTAAACGGTGACTGTATACGGCCGTATACGACACGGCGATTTACGGTCGTAATACGGTGCATGGAAATACGGCGAATTTACGGCCGCTTACGGCCGTAAAATCGCCGTATACGGCAGTATACGACGCCGTAAACGGCCGTATACTGCCGTGTCTGGTTGCTGTAATGCTCGTTCTGGGTTTGAGTAAAACTATATTAAATAGCATCTTAGAATGATTATGAACATGTAGAAGTTGATGTGTTGATCATATAACTCAATGGTCTAAACAATGGGTAAGCAATATATTGCATGCATGTTCGAATCTAACATTCGTCTGTACACATTTTCATTTAGACTAGTCTGAACTCGTCCACTACACAAGACTACAACTTGTTCTATGTGGTGTGGCTGTTACTCGTTCTGACTGGTCGTTTTCTCAAAAAGTCCTCCTACAGGACTAGTCCACCTATTAGGGATTCTTTACTAGTCCTAGACGAGTCCTTTTAGTGAAACAGACTAGGCTTGTCAGAGCCAATGACGCCCGTCAGTTACATAGTCTGGACGGGCACTATGGACGGCAAATTTTCCCAGACTAGTCATGTTGTAGTCCAATTTGAGAAAAAGACTATACCGGACGCCCCGTCAGGACTAGACATGAGACTAGTCTTTTTATCCGTCCTTTGCTTGCCTGGGTATGTAGTTACTCCCAGAAAGAAACCTCATGGACGTAAATTAACAAATGAAGATAAGAATTTCAATCGTGATATTAATAGTGCAACAGCAGCTATTGAAAATATTAATCAACGTTTTAAAACGTATGCTATTCTTGGTGGTATATACAGAGGTGCTACTGGTGACTTCTATAAGGCAACGAAAATCGTACAAGTCGTTTCTACACTACGTAATTTGAACTTAAATAAACATCGTATTCGTAAATAAACAAAATGACAAGTTATATTTTCTGATAAAATACTTGATAATAAGACTCTCCTATTGATCTTTTATGTTGTTTCAAATTTCTTGGTAGTAGATAGTGTACACTAACCGCTACGATCTAAAGTACGTTTGATACAATGATTCAAAGGACGTAGTTACCAATTCTCATTCGTAGTAATATGTAGATCCGAAATGGTAACAGATCAGTAGAATTATGCGTGAGATACAACTGGTAAAAAAAATCATACTTTTCTGATGAGTGGTTGAAGTTACATAAACAAATGAATGTTGGAGCATCCGGGTGGTTGATCATGCCTATTTCTACAGAGTAGTTTGCTCGTGAAATAATCAAAATTTTGATGTCTTGTGAAATGAGATTACAGAACCATTTTGTAATTCTCTTTGTCGCTATATCTGGTATCATTACATTCTTTCTATAAGAATATATCCGAACGAAGGTTAATAATGCATTTACAAGAGGTCATAATTATTTAAAGATGATAATTAAAATGAAAATAGAAATAAACAATTGAAAAACTCGATATATTGCACTCTACTATCATAAAAATGCGATCTTTTTCTTTCACAGCCAGAATTAATACACTTTCAAGGGTATTTATGAACTTCACTCGTATGAAAAAAACTTACTATTCTCCTCTATCAAATAAAAAAGAAATATTTGATTTGACTCCGATTAATAATGGAAATATCTAAATTTCTTAAGTGATCAGGAATTTTGGGACACCCTGTATATTACATATATGAAGATTAAGTGCATTAATGCATGACTTTATGGCTTATGGGATTGTTCATATATCTTGTCATTAGGAAAGAATGAAGACGGATCCGAGTGATTACTATTAATAAGATCTAGGAGAGTTATGACGAGCCCCATGACGATTTAGGGTGAAAGCGATGCAAAAGTCGAGAAAAACTAATGGATAATATGTGAGCAATCTCTGTAAGTTGTTTCTTCGTGATTGGTGATACGAAATCAGAATCAAGTGTGCATTTAAAGTTACATTCTCTTTTATTCTATATCACTACCATCATTTAAGAGAGATTCATTTGATCGAAGAAAAAAATAAATGAATTTCGTTAACATCGTGAAGTATCTTCTTTATTTAACGGTAAGAGAGTTTTCCGATGAATATTCAAGAACAAGTGCTGATGAAATTGCTGCATCAGAGCAATTATTTGAAGTTTTAAAGTCATCTGAAGACAGTTACTTTAGTGAACTCGATGTGTACCAAACTCTCGAGTTCGATGATGAATATGGTGAAACAACTGACAAAGAAGACAGTGCTAATGAAGAACTTATCGATGACACTGATGATTATGATGAAAACCAACAACAGAATATTTACAATTATTTTACGTTGGAAGAAATGGAAGAGATAATTGAATGGGTTGATCAACATCCAAATTATAAATTTCCCACTATTAAACATAGATTTCAAAAAGTTAAATATCCCATCTATATTACAAGATTTCGAGAATATATTAGAAAGAACGGCACAAGGTTTGAAAAGCTCGAAAAACTCAAGCAATTTATGTGGGATGAATTTTATGTCAAAAGAGTTATTGAGAAAGAAGCTGTTCATTATACTGATTTAGAACTTTTTGCAATTCAAAAAGCAAGAGAATTTAATTGGGATAATTTTATAGTCAGTGAATCTTTTCTAACGAGATTCAAGAAAGCAAATCGAATTTCATCAAGAAGATACAATAAAATGATCACTCGAGCTTCTTCGATTAGAAAAGTTTGCAATTTGGAAGGTATTTTAACTTATTCGAAGTTCAAATATAATTGTCTTAATGTAAAATATATCTATACTTTTTAGATGCCCAAAGCTGGCTCAAAATTCAAAGATCTTTAATTTCTAATTACTCTCCTGTTCAAATATTGAACAGTGAGCATTGTTCATTTCAATAAGAATACATTTCTCCAAGAACTCTATCATTCATGGGTGAAAGAACAACAGAAGTAACTGTCAAAAAAGAAACATAATGTTACGCAATCTTATACAGTATAGCCTGTAACATCATCTGCTGGTCAATTATTAGAAAAATTCTTACTGTTGTACAAGAAAAAGAAAGTAAATTTGGTAAGAGAGTGCAAAAAGATCTAATTGTGCCACCAAATGTCGAAGTACAAGCTTCAATTTCTGGAAAAAGCAGCGATGAAAGATATGACATCTTCTTAAATGAAGTTCTACATTCTTTGATTGGTAGAAAATTCCTTCTTTTTCTTGATTGCTGGAAAACTCAAGCTGATCTAACAAAATTTAAAGTAGTGTTTCTCAATCAAAATAGTCGACTATTAATGCTATTAATTTTTCCTGCAGGATCAACTGGTTATATTCAACCACAAGATATATCTTTATACCGTTCATGGAAATACTTTCATAAGAAATTAGAACTTTATATTCATATTAATCGAATAGAAATGACCATGATTGATCATCAATATTTTATAAATATGCATTCTCTTATTCACAACCAACTATCTGCTCCGCAGTTTCAAAATCTTATTAAGTCTGGATTTGCAAAAGCTAAAATGATCAACAAAACAATTAGCCAAATTGACAAACCCAAGAATGTTTGCTTTAAATTCTGTGATCTTTATTGTTCGACTATTAACTGCAAAGAGCGAACCCTCTTAATGTATGCTTGGTGCAGAATGACCCTTTGTTATTATCATGTGATAGAAGCTCTTCATCTTCATTTGTAGTATTATATTGCTTTCGTATGAAATAAAGTCGCAAGCACTGATAATCTATTTGTTATTATAGGAAATTGGCGGCTTTTCTCTCACTTTTATATTATTAAACTTGCAGAAAAAGGTACATCTAATGTGATTCTAATAGTATCAATACATTTTAATCAGATTTTAAAAATATATTCTCTCAACAACCTGATAATTATGTAAAATATTGGATGTGCATAGTTTCCATGATATTATGTTCATATATCAAAACTATGAATATCTTAAAAATTGATTATCTCAGTCCAGACTGGCTATGAGGACGTAATATTTTAAATTTGTTAGTTTAGCGGTAATAGTGTTAATTTGGCCCGAACATGCTTATTCAACTCGATTAACAATACAAAAGATTCCATTATAAGTAACAAAGAACATATTTTAAGATATCAATCGGTATAAACATTTTTGACAGAAGGTAAGTGTAAGTAATCAAGAAAACCATTGCTATGTCAGTTTTTCATTGAGCTACTGTAAATCAAAAGCCATCTATTTTTTTTTACAGTATTTACAAGATCATCATAAGATCATTCGTAATATTATCTTTACCATGTTGAATAGCAATCCTTTTCACTTGTTTTAGTCTTCCTCTCGAGTGTTCACAAATCTGTTTTGCTCATAAGTCGTACTCATTTCATATTTAGTAATAGGCATTATTTTACTTAATCTACACAAATATTCATTTGCTATCCGTGAAACTTTAGATTTATGTTAATTGATTAAATGAAATAACTAAAAGTTTTCATTGCTTTACTGTTTTTGAAATTATAATAGATTCAGCCAGAACGATAGAACTTTAATTATATAGTAGTTCTTTGTTCAGCTCTTTCAAACGATTTATTTAAAATTTTACTCATCACTATTGGTACTACATAAAAATCTACACTACCAACATTATAAAAAAAGAACTGTGGATTGTGTGTGATTAAAGTGTCAGTTTCTAGAAGATATCATTTGTTTCGATAGTTTTTGAGTTCAGTATTTCATTTTCAACATTCTTTCGTGTAGATCAGATCCTTAATAGATCTATAGTAGCTCTGGAGCAGTAACGCTCAAAAATGTCATTAAGTAAGCAATACAAGATCATACTGAGTTATAAATGTTTCCCGTATTTGAACATACAGAATCATGCAACTTAAACAAAAACACGTATATAGCATTGACCGAACTAATGTTAGATACAAGAATTACTTGAAAGACGTCACTCATATACAAAACAAATAACTTACAAGTAACGCTCGTCTGCGTGACTCGCTTGACCCTCGACTGAATATTTGACTGCTTCGATATTTTTACTGTTACACACACCTTTCAAAAGCTAGCAAGTGGCCTATGTATAAGGTTGTGTCTGACGAGGGAACATTCCCAGGTGCTAAAAAGCTTTTCAACCGGGGATGTGATAATTAGATAGGGCATAGCTAGCAGTGATACACCCTAAGTTAGTTCGCGCCCAAGTTGAGATTTGGCTGAGATATCGACTTTTTACTAGAATTTGCCTATGGGACCCCATCTTCCCCATGAAATCAAAGTTTTGAATTTTGAGGTGAAACTTTGCCCATATCAAGCCCTCAGCTAGGGTAGTTCATCCACAAAGTTTCAGAATTTTTGGGCTAAGTATTCCCGAGATATGAGTATGTTAGTATAAACACAGTTTTTTACGGATATTGCTGTATGCATGGATATTTTGAAAACATTATATCTCAGGAATGNCCATGGGAAGTCAACCATAAAAAACATAAAAGTTTCCAATTTTTTTAAAACATATCTCATTTTGTATAGCTTTTGGCGCTGATCATTTTGGTAAAAAAGATTTCCTAATTTGATCAACAAATGGCAATAACAGAGTCAAAATACTGGACGGCATAAGATTGTTTGCGGCTTTAGAGCAATTTGACGTTCTTCAGTATTTTGCCTCTGGCATTGCCATTTGTTGATCAAATTAGGAAATCTTTTTACCAAAATGATCAGCGCCAAAAGCTATACAAAATGAGATATGTTTTAAAAAAATTGGAAACTTTTATGTTTTTTATGGTTGACTTCCCATGGAAGTACCGAGAGTATATAAATAATATACCCAATATTTGCCAACAAATAATAACTAATCACAGCTAGGAAAGTATGGAGTGATAGAGAATTTGATGTACATTCAGAATATATACTTAGTTTCGTAATAAATTATTTATATATTGAAATAAATTTGAAAAAATGAATGATATATAAATTTTTGGGGAATCTGACGATAAGGGTACCTTTAATATGCTTGAATTTATTTGCAGGAGACAAATGCAATTCAAAATCTATATAGAGAGAGTTGTAGAGAATTCCACGGGCTATCCGAATATATAATTACTTTCCCCAAAATGTCAATTTATAGTAACAATATATCGAAAATACCGAGCCTAACTATTTTTTTCCCCGGGGGATATATGTAAACCTATCAAGTATTTGATTGGACATGTTTTTATGACTTTTACATCATTCTAATTTTTCCTTTAACATTTATATTGTATCGAAAGAGAGACCCAGTAATATGCATGAAGAGCACTTGTACATGTATATGTTAACTACTGTATGAGCATCTATGTAAAGCGATCAAGTGGCATATGTCTATGCACACTTGTAATTTTACAGAGAGAAGTGTATTCCCAGCTGTTATATTAACGTTTCAACTAACTGCAGTTTTTTTTTCATTAAGTTGTTCTCAAGTTTTATTCGACGATTTCTTCAAATGATGGTTTAAGAATAAGTTATATCCTTTTAATGAACGAATAATCGAGATTTTTAGTCTTTTACACTTTTTCTACTAATGAGGTACAATATTCTTAACTTTTATCCAGAATGAACTTTTATCTCGAGATAATTGTATATTTATTATCGTCTTCTTTATCCATGTATTATTATATCGGTTTATACCCAAGCGATTACTGGAACATTATTTTGTGGAACTCACGTATGTTTTCGAAGAAAATAGTGAGTGTAAGTTTTCAGTTCGAGGTTGGCGGCTCCCCCATCCTCCCCACCCCATTACAGACACATAGCAACGGGAAAGAGAACATTACAGACATACCCCCCATTACAGACACCCCCCTCCCATTACAGACCATAGCAACTCGAAAAAAAAAGTAAAAATTTTATTCGAAGTATAGAAATAAAAATGGCAGCATTTGCTGACAATCGATTATCATTAGAAAAGAACCATCGTCTTTTAAAGAATTTAAACACTGTATTTTGTCATTAGTATAATAAATTAAAGAAGATATGTGAGTTCCACATTTCAGCCCCAAGGGGGCTGCGCTAACAAGCTTTTTTGATGGGTTTTCGAAATCCCAAGATCCAATTATTTTGATTGATGATAATATCACAGACATCATTTGATAGAGCAAGTCGAGCTGCACCGATGTATCCAGATTTCAAAAGTGGCACGGTCTCTGAAACGAATAATTTTACGAAAAACTGTTTTGCTTTGTTTTGCGCTGTGCTGAAAAACAATACTTTTGCTTTTATTTTTTTCTGTCGTAAATTTCCTGAAAATCTAAATATGCTATTTGATATAGCTAATTCAGCTGTATCTGGCACACAATACCTCATGGTTGGCACAGACGTCTGGGCGAATCGTCCTCAGAAAAACTCGAATCTGGCGCTAACTTCACTTTCATTAAATTGGAGGATATTGGTATGTGAATAATCAGAACATTCTCACGCAACCCCAACAGCCTATCGGCACGAACCCAAAACCTCACCCAGACACCCATCATCCTGAAATGGTTTTGTGCTCGTCGGAGTGTATGGAGATAGCCCATACAGCTGGTTTCAATCGACAGAAATGAAAAAGATGAATGTTGATTGAACAATGCAGTTGTGCGACGAGCATTCTCCCAGTAAGGTTTTGTGCTCAGAAGTTGAAGAAGAAAGATATTGAGATTGGACCACTTATGTGTTATCGGCAATTGACGTCAATATCTATGATTAATCGTGATAAAAATCCAACAGTGCTTGTTGAGAAATTTCGAGCAGCACCGAGAACAGGATAAAAGAGCATCTAGGCTGCATGTCTGCCAACGGCATGGCTCAGTTAGTTTTTGTTTGCCGTATCTTCTTGCTGTCGACAAAGCACAGCAATGCTCGGCCCCCTTCAGACGCTTCAACAAAAAATAATATTATTCAAATCAAACCAGCAGCACGTCGTTTACTTGCTCAGGGTATCATACAAGCAAATTACTTTTATACGAAATATCAAACAATTCATCAATATCACCTGAGAACCGTCTCGACCAGTTTTGTTAAGATTCCCGGTCTTACATTTGGATTCAGTCATAGTACCCCACTCTTGTACAAGATCCACTTTCAAGGTACTTGTGCTAATGTAGTGGCTGATAGATGGAGCTTCCTAAGAGTCATGATCGATGACAAAATCTTGGTGTCGAACAACCTGTTGCCAAATACTAACCAGCGTGCTCATCTTCTCAAAACGCACTGCTCAACCATAGTTTAATTTCTCAGCTGCTTAAAAAGATTTGGTTGATATATTTTACCATAAATACCTGTCGTGGAATCATTGAGGTGTGCCTAGTCATAGCATTGAAAGAGATCTCCTCTTAAGATCCATGACCACAGGGTGTGGGTGGGGGCTGACTCTGTGCGTGCGGATGTGAGCCGGCTGTGTGGTTGTGTGTGTGGTGGGTCTGGATGTGGGCGGGCTGTGCGGGCGTGGGTGTGAATGGAACACAAAAGAACTCTAACACCCACACCCACATCCACACCCTCCATTTTTAACTATTTTTGGGGGTATATAAAAGGATTTAGCATCTTCGGATAAATGGTAGAAAAGGGTATATTATCCGTTGCATCCTGATAAACGCTTTAAAGGTTTATCATTCGATACGCTTTTTTTTATCAGTGTGCTGCGCCATCAAAAATCATTTGCATTCTACATTGTTGCATGTAAGAGCGTATTGAGATACTTTCGAGATGTTTTGGCAAAACAGTCTGAAAGAAGATCGTACACAGTTTTGTTTACGCATCACTAAGCGCTCTATAGTAACGCCTTTATAAACGATCCATAATTTATACGTAAGTACACCGAGCTTCGTAAACTGAATTCCACGAAATACCGTAAAGACACCGGTTTCTATCCGTTTACTGCCGTATACGGAGCGTTTCTTGTGACTCGGGTTGTTTTGATGAGTTATTCTAAAAAATTCTTATCAGTAAATTACTTGGTGAAACTCGACACAACAGAAACACGAGCAATGGAAGGTCTATGCTCATACCCTCTTGTTGTCTCATTTATGATCAATAATTAAAAACAATCTAAAATATGTTAAAGTTTACAGATTAGGAATTTCTCGTCTGCCCATCTCTCCCTTCACAGACGTGACAGACATCGTAGCAAACGATCGCAGATTGTGAGAGACGTTGTTGGTATACGATCGACGGTCGTATATCGATAAGGTCTTATTATACTACTTAAATTTAATCAAAAGTTCTGATAATATGAAATAAAAAAACAAAAAAAGTAAAAGATTTCTAATATTTAATTTTGTAAAATGTCTAATGCTGTTGGTATTATCATTTATGCCAAGTTCAGTCATTTTTAATGACTTGTTAAAAGCTTTTTCGAAAGTTTTTTTCTTGAACGTTTTCAACCTCATTGGAAATCAATAGGTCTAATCAGTTTTTATTTGTTTGTTTGATCAAAACAACTATACATGATATGATAAACTATCTAAAAATCCAACAACATAAGGTCTAGTGTACATGCATGATATATATCATTAAATTGACATATTTTTCATATATATAATTAATAATATTCAGATGAGTTTGAATTCGACTATTATCAACAGGCAGATTTACACTTGTTGCACCTGATAATTCTCTACAATTCAATATTTTATTATCGAAAAATCTTAAGACAATTTTCAGTAAAAGCATGGTGATATTTAACTTTGTGTTTAATTATTCCATGCATAAAAAGAGTATCATCTTATTTAACAATATAAAAATCAAAGTTTTAGTTTAAAACTATTTCACAAACACTATTTTTTAACAAATTCACTGCACTAATCCAATCAATATAAAGTGAGTTGAGACTAAATTGTCTACAATAAATTCACGTATGATTACTAGTGTAATAAAGGACAAGTGACATAATCTATCAGAAAATTTCGCTAGATTTTAAGACAAATAAAACATCTTCAATTCTTTCAGTTTTCAAAAGGGTTAAAAAGATTTTAGAAAAAAGTTTCATAAGAGCTTTTACCGACTCATTAGAAATGATCGAACTTCGAATAAATAATAATACCAACTATATTTAACATTTAATAAAATAAACTTAAAAAAATCTCTTAATTTTTATATTTTTATTTCATGTTATTGGAACTTTGGTTAATCCTAAGTAAATGGCCGTCATACTTATTGCATATGTGGAGGATTGAGTAAAAAGATGGTGAAGAAATGTGGTCAAAAATAGAATCTTCTTATGATTAATAACAATAGCTGTATAGCGTTTCAGATTTTAATCCCATAGGAATTATACTAACAGTTTTTTGTGATTGGAATGACACATGCTTTCAATATCTCTATGATGCTATCAGTGGTGCAACTAGGATTTTTGAACCAATGGACAAACCTCTCTTGTGTCAAAAAAACAATCATGGGCAAAATGAGCAAGAATTTTATTGATAGGGCAAAACCTTTTTGACCCAAAAAAGTACCAATAACGTAACAAAAATACAAAAATGAGGTTCTTTTCTCAACACAAAGAAAAAAGAAATAAGGTTTCTTTATTAACAAAAAAATATGACATGAGATTCTTTTAATCAAATATACATCATGCTCAGATTTCAAGCCTGAGTCACGTATTTTAGTCTATTTTTAATGTTTCTATTTATAAAATTCATTATTCAAATGCAGACATCAAACTCAAGACGACGATTATACATGTTTGTATATAGGTTCCATATTTCATTTGAATTTATATGAAGATCTTTATGAATATATGCAGCAACAAGCCCATTTAACCTGTTTTGTTTCATTGTAGACCGGCAATAGCTTTTAATTCTCGATAATTGACTAAAACTTCTTTCAGCAGAAGCTGTTGATACAGGTAATGTTGCTAAGAAAATTAATAAATAACGAACATTTGGATATAATACATTATCTGCCTCTTTAATTAGTTCATTTAACCATTTTCTGCTCCACTCATTATCTATTTTAAGCAGATCATTCCATTTTTTTTGCCATCATTCTAATTCAGAACTTAATTGTAATGGTGATAGTAAACGACTAGCGAATTGTTTCAACAAGTGTTTTGTTAATTCAAATAGTTTTTCATTTATAATTACTTCGGGTCGCAATTTGCTTAATAGAACAATTCGTTCACCTTTTAAGCCAGATAATCGACTTTTAACATTATTAACTAATTCGTCTAAATATGGTAGATAAACATAATCACAATAAAACATTTCTGGATCACAAACTGACATATTTTGTTTTCGCATAGCCAATGTTGAATGACTTGGTATGGATGGTGTGACAAACAGTTCTTTACGTAAAGCATCAGCATGGCTATAAATTACATTATGAACATAATCTTGAGCTTGTTGTTTTCGTTGATCAAGTGTATCTAATAAATCATCAACACATCGATTAGCTGATGAAAAATCCAATGTTTCTGTTTGCAGTAAACGACTAGTTGGAATAATTTCTGATAATAAAAAACATGAAATACAAGTTGAAATTATATGTTGAAAATTTATTATGGCATGATACCATGACTCGGCTGTTGAATCTTTCAATGTTCCATACCTAAATTTGTCTAATGTATTAACAATTGGAATTTATATTTCTAAAAATGTTTCAATTGACGTGTTTCTATCAATCCATCGAATATCATATAAACTTACTAGACGTTTTTTGTCTGTTAAACAAATGTATTCTCCTTGATATTCCGTAACTTCGAACCGAAGTGCATGTATTCGTTTTGAAGAAACTCTAAAAAATAAATTACCTCTTTGATTGTTCCCATCATGTTACAAATTTGTGAAATACTGCAACTATTGACCAGTGTCAAATTGAGATAATGGTTAGAACAATGATAATATTCTGCATCTGGACATTTCTGTTTAATAAATGCTTGACAACCTTGATAGATGCCGGTCATGTTTGAGCCCCCATCATATGCTTGACCTACACAATTATCATATGGTAAATTATGCGTTGTTAAATAATCAAGAATAATATTAGCTATTGTTTCACCCGTGCACAAAACAGTTTCTGTAAACGTTAAAAAGTCTTCTCTTATATTATTTATCTTTTTATCATAATATCGTAATGAAAGACTTAATTGTTCGGCTGTGTATGTATGTATCGGGTGTTTCATCAACAAAGATAGACAATAAACAATTTTCAACTCGATGCAAAATTTCGTTCAAAATATATTTGTGAATACAATCTGTAATCTCATTTTGAATTAACGGGCTTGTGTACAAAGCATCCTTCGGTCCACGTTCAATGTGTTGACGAAGAATTTCATCACCTGCATCGATAAGTTGTTTTAAAAATGCAATAAAATTTGAACTAGAATGAGAATCAATAATATCGATAGTTTTTCTTACCTCATTTATTGCTTCGTCTCTGTGACCACAAAGGGGAATATTATGACGTGAACAAATAATTATTATTTTTACAATCCATTTTATAATAATGATTTATTACGATTGATTTTTTCAATTCTATCTTTATCAATTAACGATAAAATTGATACCGATGGATCTTTATATGTACGTATAAAATTAGCGGCAGCAACTGTTGAACTCTGATGAAATGGCGAATTAATATGAGTTTTCCATGATGTAGCGAAATGTTTCAAATGTTTGTACTGATAACAAGGTTTATCAACGAATAATTCTAATTTTTATCCTGGTATGTTACGAAACAATACACAATTTATGCAATAAGCACCTTCAATGTACGGTGAATAAACAAGAAATGAATTATCGTTCAACCAATTCATCAGGAATCGACGACAATGTTTTTGATCATCCGAATATAAAGTTGGAAACAAATATTTTCTGTTGGGCTTAAAATGAGTTGTTTATAGATTATATTTCAAATTATCATCAATGGACAATTTATTTGATACATAATAACCGATATCATTTTTATTGGTTTCAGGTCAAAAATTGATTGCTTTCAATTCATTACTTGCAACGCTGAAGTTAACTTCGTCATTCAATTGAACTGAATTTTCAAGATCACTGGATGAAAGTAAAGTGCAAGCATCATCATTCGTCGTGATTGTAGTAGCTACAGGTGTATTTGTACTCGGTGTTAAATTTTCAGCATCACTTTGTATTTTTTTCGAAGAGAAATTATAGCTTAATAACGTTTTAGTATTAGGTCGCTTTACATTCGACATAACGTAGCGTTAGTGTGTTTTAAAACAGAACAACAAAATGATAAGTGCATAATTGTATGTATGTTTACTTGTTCTTTTCTCTTTTCCTTTCGTCTTTTCTTATAATATATTAGTATGAAAGAAGAAAAGAGACCATCAACTGGACGAGCTAGGCTATAGTTCATTTGTTTTATATCAGTATTGTAAAAAAGAAGAAAGAAAAAAAAGAAAAAAATATATTTACAATTGTGAAAAAGTAAAATTTCAATGGGTAAATGTCCATTTGCCAGCTCCTGGTTACGCCATTGGATGCTATCTATATTTCATGAGACAAGTTGTGTTTATGTTCATGCAGATCTCATCTCGTTCAGTCAAACCTTGGTGTCTCAACTATGATCTCATACAACAAATAAACTAAATATGTACTTTATTGAGAAAAAAAAGAAAGCGAGAGTCACAGAATATTAACCAGAGAAATTTAAAGTGAATGAGAAATCCACCGAGTTTAGATAAAAATAGTTGTGATTAAAGTTATGATAGTGATGAGCAAGAAGCATCCAGATAATTTATTTCTAGTACCAGTACCCACAGGTGATGATGTAGAAGTAGTTGTTTGGATAATATTAATTATAGCGCCCATTCCAGGATGATTTTTGCACCCATAATAATAAATACCAGCATTAATGAAAGTAACAGCAGTATTAGTACCTGCCTGAGTAATTGGAGCACTAAGTTCATTACTGCTATTAGCTCCTTGACAAAATTTAGGTGTGGAACTGTTTTGGCAGATTATTAACGGATGAATTGAAACATTTGTGGCCAAATTGAATATTAATTGATCACCAACGTTTAAAGTCAGATTTGGACTAAGACTATCATTCAAAGCGAAAGTTTGATTGAAGAAAATTGGATTTCCTTGAGGGCAAGTTGAATTCTGAACACATGAAACAAAAGTGACAGTATATATTACAACGTTGCCCGAGACATAAAACAACAATACAGCAACGAATAAAATCGATAATAACCTTGATAAACGAGCCATATGCGCGAGGTAGTGTGTATTTAGTAAAAAAAACGAGCTATATGTCTAAAATAATGTTACCTGTACAGAATATATGTATAATTGATCGTTACAAGAAAAAAGGTGAATAGAAAAATCTTATCCAATCATGCATTTTACACTCATTTACTGGTTTATTTTTGGTCTATTAATAAGTAGAAGTGTCCTATGTTAATGAATGCAAACGATTCTATATATTTTGAAAGAGGCAAAGGTAACGAAATGAATCAGATGAAAAGAGAAAAATTGATGCCCGAATTGTATCTTAAAGACGCCCTAATTATGTAAAAATAAAAAAACATTTAATGTTGTTTTCGCTAAAATTAACGTTATAGTTTGTATTAACCATATATTGCAGTGGATATCTTTACAGTCAACGCTGTCCTGATTTTCTGTTTTTTTTTCGCGTTTATTATAGCGAAGCATTTGAGTTGACTATTAACGAAGTTTATCTCGATAATCATCATGAAACACACTACAAGTTTCCAAGTGTAAAGTATTTTTTTTTTGTCATCATTTACAACCTTGATTACAACGTATTGTATCAACAGTATGTGGATGACTTATAAATAGTATAATAATTAACGATGCAATAGTGAGGATCATTCTTCAGCTTACCGTCACCATGTTACTAATTGGACTGGTAATTGATATGCACCGACATTCGCTAATAAATAACAGTGGACCCGGTTAACTTTTTTTTCCTGTAATCGACCCAATAAAAAATAGATCGTCACTCAAGTGAATAAGCTGCACTCGAAAACTCACGAATCCGAGAGCAAGAAACATCGAGCTAGGAAGAGACGACATGAATTGCGTAGTCCTCATTTCTATTGATAGTAATTTTCATGAACGCTATTTTTCAGCTCTGTAAATATCCTTAAGAGAATACCGATACTTTTTTTGGAAAGTAAGTTACTGAGTAATTGGTAACAACGAATTCATCACACTGACTGTATGCCGAAGAAATAACGGTTTTTAATAAAGTTTGACCAAAGATACTCGAAGTCGAGGAATTCGAATCCGTAGTCAGTTTCTTCAAACTCATCAATTTGATTTGTCGGTAGAGAAACGGTATTTGAGAGGGAAAAATGAATTTTTGAGAAGAGGAATCAATATTACGAATAGTTAGAAAATCATTGCAGATTTGAATTCCTCGACCCCACATACGTTGGATTAAGCTTTATTAAAAACTATTATTTATTGAGCATACTCTTTCTCTATGAGTGTGGGTGTGGGGTGTGAGATGTGAGTGGGTGTGGGGCCTAGGGCGTGGGGTGTCGATATGTGGATTAAACTAAAACTGCCGTCACCTCCATACTCATGTCCATCACCAGCTCCCGCATTCACCGTACATGAAAAATAAACGCACAGAAAAGAATTTATTATCGTGTTACAAGAATAAATCTACCTGCGTTTGCAACAATGAAAAATAGAGTCAAACCTTGCTCTCAATCATTTTGAATCATCGTTTTGAGGTCGTCAATTTTTATGCGAAAGTTCTCATCGGTCGGCACACGCAAGATCATTTTTGATCCAAGTTCTAATAGTTCCAGTGCTCTAACAACACTTATGTGTGTCTCTGTCGATGCATAGGTAATCAATCGTGGTTTGTTCACAAGTCCATCTTGTCTCACCTTAGTCAATGGTCGTTGTCGAGCCACTACCATGCAGAGCACTGTTGCCACTGATGTGCCACTGACAATAAGGCCACCGCTATTCTCATGTGTAAACCCAAATAATTGCCGCATCCATTTAATGACTGTTCGCTCAACAAGTATAGGACTATGAGTACTACTGCCGGTATTCGCATTCATTGCTGATGCGATCATATCAGCCAATACACCACCTAATGTACCTGCACCAAACATCCATCCCCAAAATCGAGGATGTCTATTGCCATAGGAATAAGGCATCACATAATTGAGCACATCACGACACACATTTGATAGTGATTGACCATGTTCAGGAAGCGATTCATCTTCGATAAACGCACGAACATCTACTGGAATAGGCCGCTAGACCGGACGATCTGGTATTGCTTGAATATAATCCAACGACGAATCAAGCATTTGATGTGCTAGATATCGAGCTGATGACCAATCGAGAGGGTCGAGAGACCCGTTTCGGTTTTTATTGTTGATTAATGATGACAGAGAAGGTAATTTAACTTCGGCTATGGCATTGATCAAACTGAACATTTGAGATTTCATCGATTCAAAGATTCAATGTCTTCAATAGACTCGTGCAACTTATGGACTGTTCGTTCGATCAATTTATTTAACATTGTGTGTTCCATTCAAAGTGCAACTATGAAAAAAGTCAAAGTGATACATACAATGGCAAGCGTATTCTTTTGACTCGAATGTTGTTCTATATTAAGGATAATAAGAAAAAGGATAAAGCAAAGAGCAAGATCTATCTTATTCACTTCTTATTTCATCAACAAAAGACCTATCTTATCAACGTGACATTTAAAAGATTCGGTCAGCGATGAAAGTGCACATCTCAGAATAATGTCATCGTTCTGTATATTTAATGTTAGTAACATTCACATGGAACATCATCTATGAAAAAGTAATGGCATAGGAGTAGAGGCGATTTCTTGCTTGCTATATCTGCTAAAATCAACGATTGTTCAAGAATATGTATTTACATAGAAGAAAGCAAAGGTAGAAGATGTCCAGAAGAGCACTACTCATGTAAAAAGAACTCGCTGAAAAGCTGATTAAAAACTGATTTTTCTGAGAAAACAAAGCACAAAAATTCGATTGTTTTGCATATCTTTTCGATTAAGATCATAGTAATAATCAAAAATCTAAACGATTTGAATCGATTCAACAAAAGACATCGTATTCATTGATGAAAATAACATCATTCACTATATTTCAATAGAGAAAGAGCTGAAATCAGGTTTTTTTAATGAAACAATTTAGACTGGTGCACTTGAATTATTTTTCGGTTTTTTAAATTAAAATCTCAGGATTTTGATTAAATTTAATTTAGCAAACGAATTACATATAGTAAGGCGTGTGTGTGAGTTTTAAATAAGAGAAAACTGACATCCACATCCACACTGACACCCCTGCCATAATTGGTTACAACAATATATGACTTGTCATCGTTATTCAGGCTACTAACGGTAAGTGTCAACAAAATAGAATCATTTCCAGTTAAATATGTCATTGACTTGCATTCAAGGATTTGATAGCTAAAGGTCGAAAGTGAAATCGTCGAAAAATAAAATGTCGAAAGCAGAATGTCGAAAACCAAAATCCTTTTAGGGCACACCTTTCACCCGCACCCACACTGTTGTGCTGTGTGCAAGTGTACCGTATTACATTCCATTGGTAAAATCTTAGAAAAAGTTTTTCACTAAGAATTTATAAAGGTTTATAATTTTCGACATCTTGTTTTCTGACATTTTTTTTTCGACATTTGTACTTTTGACATTTTCCATTCGATGTTTTACCACTTTCTCTTTCAAATATATCGATGAATAATTGTCTGCATGCATTCGATCTTATTCTTGAAATAAAACCTATAGGTCTCAGTGTCATATGACTTCACTCCCAGTAGAAAGAAGCCTACTTCCTTCAAGCCTTCATGTTTTTTCTTTCCTATTTATTCAGTATTGCATTTGAATACGTCACTCTTTTTTCTTCATCTGTATCAAAGCGAAAGATCACTATATTAAGCTTATTCCCCTTTCTAATAGAAATCAATAATGACAATGTTATTTTGTTGTGGTCGAAGATGATAAACATCATTGAACCAAACATCATAGATTCATCAACATATATAAACCTTAATACTATTTGCCAAATAGTATTGTTGATTTTCTTTTCTTTCATTCTTTCCTTACTTAATGCCTGGGTACATACGAAAAAGTGAATACTGTTTTTTTTTCTTTCGATTCTCTAAGTATAATGCATACACTTTATTGATCACATTCTACTGACGCTTATTTGATCTCAACTCAAAACTACACAACATACATCCCTCATCCTCTAGCGAAGAATAACTTTATCAACGGACAAAATAATGCCAAAAAGAGATCGAACAAATTTGGATTTGACTCCGAAGGGTAGCATTTTTCTAGTAAATTACATTCACACTCTTTTTCTTTTATATAATGCTAGAATGTGATATACTTACAGCAAATGCTAAACTTACTGAGCAAGGTAAAACAAAATTTTACTAAATATTGAAGTCTTCTATTTTCATTTATTTTCAAAAACAGAAATTCAAGAGTGGCATACGGTATTTCGTATTAAACATACTTCTTCGAACAAACAATCGAAATAATCATCTTTTTCTTTGTTGACAGGATTTTCTTCGTCAATATCCTTCAGGCAGACTCGATAAAAAGACATTTATTAATTATTATCAAAAACTACATCCACATGATGAAACAGACATAGGGTAAGAACAAAGTCATAAATTTCATCGAATCCTTTGTTGATAAAATTTAGACAACTTTTTGATCGAATTGATGTCAACGATGATGGTACAATTGATTTCAATGAACTTCTTGTATTAATTGCCATTAGAAAAAAATTCGGCAATTTAGAACAAAGACTTGCATTTGTATTTGATTTGTTAGTATTCATGAATTATCAATTTATTTTATTATTTCTATTTATTGTTTTAATTTAGATGGGATGATTCAGAAGATGGACAAATCGATCGAAAAGAACTAACTAATTTAATATCAGCTATGGTAAAGTTTCTTCTGCACTATGTTTTTCGTTTGATAAAATTAGATGTTCGTTTTTGTTTCTGTTCTATAGTACTACCGTGCTGGTATTAGTGATCAAAAAGGTGAATGGGATCCCAAAAAACGTGCTAAAGAAATCATTGCTAAACTAGACATTAGTGGTGATAAGAAACTAAGTAAACAAGAATTCGTTAACGGGTATGATGTTTAAAACTAATTATTTCTCAGTATTTTTATCACTTGTTTTCTCAGATGTATGAATGATCCAGTTACTTGTGGTCTATTAGTTCCACGTTGTTAATAATAATTATACTATGTCTTCATTAGCAAACAACAAACGAGTATGACAAAATACACTTCGATTTTTTTAAAATCTTTTCTCATTATTATTATAAAACAAAATATCAAATCTGTCAATGAACTTTGTTGACGATTATGTTAAATATTGATAAAAAAATATATGCTTCAATCTGAACTTTATTTGAGAAATAAAAGAGAAAGATAGAAGTGAAAAAGAAATGTATGATATTTGAATCTTTGTTGCATAACACAAGATTCTGTCAAGCTACTTTTACTATTGGATATGTCTTTCTCTCTCTCATGCGAAAAATTCATTATTCTTAACAATGATCACTTTTTTTGTGGCTTCTCTGTATGTCATAACCTGTTTCATGTGTACTACAGCTAACTAACTATGAAGAAAATCATGATATCACGACACGACCTTAGTTTACAAGTAAAAAGTGGTTCAATTCATTTACACGAACATAGATGAACAAGTTCATAAACCACTAAGTCTTTATCTAAGATTAATGTAGCCGCAGATGTTCTGAAGATCCTTTTTCATTTCACAGCAAACCATGCGGCAAATCTCTGAACTATAAACACGCCTTTATAGTTAACTAGTTTTTCATCTATTTATTTCATTCAATTTTTGTATTTCTAAATGCATATAAAGAAAATATCAATCCATTTACAACATAGTTAATTTTTCTGTGCCAGATTAGATTTCTACTCAGTCTTTAATCAACGAAGAATATCGATATAATTTGAATCATTTCCTGGTTTATTGGTCACAATAAACTCATATTTTTCCTTAACCAGTTCTTTTATATTGTGTCTCATGTTCATTTTTCAATGAAATATGATTTTATTTTAATTATGTTGTTTGTCGAATGAATATCTCATTTGAACATTCGATGTTACGAAGAATAAAACTTTGTCTTTTTCAGTTTCATGAAGATATTTAAATGCAACATGATCTCCATAATATAAAAACATTGGACAAAAAAAATTTGCAATAAAGCTTATAAAAAAAATAAAATATAACATTATTTGAAAATTTCATTGAAGTCTCATAGACTCTTTTATACAAAATTGACACTGAAAATTGTATAATTCCTTTGTTTTAGTTGTCATACTGTAGCCGAATAAATAATAAATATTAGAGTATTATAAATCTGGATGACAATTCGAATCATAACTTTGATTTATCAGTGTTTCATATGTTATCATTTCACGTATGGATTTGCACAAATATTTGAATATTAAATAGTATTTCATGTTAATATGAAACCTGAAGCTTCATTACAAGTATATTTAAAAAGAAAAAGAAAGCTTAGTGAAAAATGTCAAGTGTGGTAATAAAAACAACAAAAATTTAAAAAGTATTTTTATTGCATAAACATAGACAATCAATTACATATATATTTATGTCATTATTGATCTGATAAATATCATATGTTATTTTTTCGAAGATATCCCTTTGATCATTCATTTGTACAGAGAAGATTGATTTGAAAATGAACTCTCCGCATTAAGATGAGATAGTAGATATTTTATTGAAGTATTTGAAATTATGTCGTGTGTGTCTTCTCCTTTTAGAAAATATTTTTATCGTATCATTCATTCTTATCTGACGAAAATGAGATACTTCACTTTTAGATTTTGTTCTTATGATGATTTGTATTTGCGTCATACTACTCAGGTGATTGTCAACAAAAGATTCTATTATACTTTAACGATCGAAAAATAAAAGAAAACGACAAGACGAAAAAAAACAAATGTAAATCACTATTATTATTTTATATCATGATGTACACTGTCAATATTTTAATATCAATGATTGTGTTACCAAAAAACAAGAGGTGTAACTTATCAGAGTCAATAATACAACAGCAAAGGAAAAAAAAATTCTTTGTTGCTTTGTACTTTGGTAGAATTTCAGCTTCTCTCACAGTGTATGCATATTGAAGTAATAATTAATATTCTATTTTACGATAAAAAAAACATTAATCACTACAAACAGTTAATTGTAGTCGAAAGAAAAATGAAAACAATAGACATGACAACAAGATCTCTACTAATAAAGATTCATTCTCGAGGTATCAAAATTTTATTGAACTTTTCAACAAAAAGCTTTGGTCACGAGAAATATTGACTTTCAACTTCAAACTTGACACGAACAAAGTTCTTAATGAAATTAGTTGATTGTGCAGCTGGTATTTCCTGTGTTAAGATGTAAAAATAGAAACAAAATTTGCTTTTACAAATCAGAGAATTTCGAATATTTCATATTCCAAGAAGCTTTAATTATGCATTTTGTGAATAAAGTGAATAAAAGTTTGTCACTGTTGAGAATAACGGGTTAAAAAAAATATTCATTGTATAAAAATTTCTTTATTAACCCAAAAAACAAAAGAACTAAGTAACGCTAATTGTAGAAAAAAAAAGAAATGTTAGCACTTTAATCACAGTTAATTTGTTCAAAAAAGTCTTCTTTAATCGACATTAATCGTTTTGACGTTCACGTGCAAGAAAATATTTCTAAATATGAAAATTTTATTAAATAAAATCCAGAAAAGAAATAAACGCACTGGTGTATCCATATGAAAACCATGAGTATTAAAATGACCATGTCCTTTGTAGAATGATCCAAATCTTGTATTAAAAAAAAAGAAAGAAAGAAAACGATCATGAAAAAAAATTAATAAATTTCATATTATCAATTTTACTTTGAATTAAAAAGAACTTCTTGATCAGTAACAACCGATGGATCAGTAACTAAAACTGGATGATCATCAAATTTTTCACTTTTTGGAATTTTAAATTTAGCCACTTGAATTTCCGTATCAGTCAAACCTGCATGAGTTATTCGAGCATAACCAATACTAAAATTCGTCTTTGCTTGATTATAAACATTTAAAAACAAGAATCTCAAATTTTACCGAATTAAATTTTTGTATAAAATATATTCACACCATCGATCTGTATCTGTTGAATCAATATCTTTTGCAACTGAAGTTAACGTCCGATAATCACGACTAAATGGTTGCGATGTTACATAGCCAAGAAAAACCAATGGATAAGTACTAAAATCAAAATCTTGTCTATTTTGATTACTGAAAAATTAAAATAAAATATCAATACCTATTTTTCATAATATCTCGTAATGTTTCAGCTTGTAATTTTCTATCTAAATCATCTCGATCATTACCCATATGAACAATAATTATATCAATTAATTTGCTTGCCGTTTGAATAGTTGCAAGAATAGCCGGAGCAAGTTCACCTAATATTATTTATTGATATATTCATCTTTATATTTCAAATATTTACCTTCCGGTGATGGTAATAGATAATGTACTGATCGAACAATTGGATATTTTGAAAGAATAATACATCTGAAAACAAAAAAACAAAAAGATACAAAATTATTTTTCAATTTCTACTAAGTTTATTTTACCCCCAAGTATGATCTTTTGTTGATGGACCAAAATCCGTAAACATATGTAATTTTTCTCCTAGATACGAAGTTAAATCATTATTTCCAAAAAATGGTTTTGCTGTATCTGTTTCAAGAAGACCAATAACATCTGCATCTAGAATCATATTCAAAAGAAAATAACAATAATTTAAATCATAGAATTTTACTTACTCGTATCAGCAAGTACAGATGCAACACGATCAAGACTTGGACGAGCATTATTATCATAACCAAAATGAACTGTCCAAATAGCAGTAGTAAGATAAGTTGGCTAGTTAATAAAGAAAAGAAATTTACAGATAAAGACCTTCAAAAAGTGAAATAACGAACATCTTCTGCTTTTCGTAATGATGTTGATGGTAGAGAAAGAAAACGTGAGAATGTACCAACACATGCAATTAAGAAGGCAATACCAAATGCTAAAATAGAAAGAAAATTTTTTTCCAACTGATTCATCACTTTTGAGTCGAGATTATATGAATTATATAGATCTGAATGAGCTTTGAATATGCTGAAAAGACTTCGAACTCGGTAGCTTGCTGCTGGAGGACAGCTGATTTTCGAATGTCGACTTCAAACTTTCTACGCAGACAGACCTTAACGAGAGTAGTTTATTGCGAAAACTTCAGATCTTTTGATTTGCTTCTATCCTCAATCAAGAACATTAAACTTGACACTTTATATGAGCGATGTCAAAGACATACTATTATCATAGTCGGATGTTAACCCTCGAGGATTATTCTCATTTTGTCATGCAAAGGATATTTTGTGGGTTCAGTCGAATCCACATGTAAATAAATAAAGAGAAATGGATTTTTTTGTTTCATCTTATCTGACTACAGCACAAACAAGTAAATTTTCTTTTATTATGTTCTACAATGAAAAAAACTACAATAAAATCAATATCACGATTGAATGTTTTTCCTATAATACTTATTCATGAAAGTTAATATAACCTTTTTACATTATTAGAAGGCTAAAGATTAGAAAAAAGATTGCTCGAAAAAGGATAAGTATTAACGTAGCAGGAAACGAAAAGTGTTGTTGTGGTTCTCTAGATAAACAATTAAAATATCTCTCGAAGTGCGTTTGGATTACAGTGTCATCTAGGCTCGAGTAGCATGATATCTAAAGAACAACAAATGGGGTTGAAGGGCATTTTTCTCAAGGGCGACCTATCGAGGGCATTTCGTAAAGGACGTTTTAGACTGTATTCGTTGTCACATCCTTGAGAGAAACCACGACATTCATCTAAAACCTACGATAAATGTAGGGTATGTCTCGACGCAATAGTAATTTATTAACTGAGGAACTTTCCTTGCTAACTTCTACATCAACGGTTAAGTTACGCCACTACTTCTCACATTCTTACCTGACCAAATTTGACGATTTGGTAAACTTATTGATGAGATATGACCACGTATATATGTTCCTAAATTATGTTCTAAACGTATAATTTATATTCGTTTGTAACAATAAAATACTAGTTGAAATTTTCTTACTAGCAGTATAAACTCCAAAATAAATGCCAAGAAAATTAAAGAATACTAATATATGAGATGTTTCTCGTGTTAATGTTCCACCAAATGGAACAAAATTATAAGCACTTGCCCAAACAGCGTAAATAACTTGTATAATATATACAAAAGTAGCAATGACAACAATACGTGGTGCAAGACCACGAGCGACTTTATCAAGTAATAATGGAAGTATTGATCCAATAAATACACTTAGAGCAAGACCACCTTTTCAAAAAAAATTCAAAAACAATCGAATGCATAAAGTAAAATTCTTCATTTACCCATAAATGAAATATTTCCACGACTGAAATATAACAAACCATAACCAAGAAAACCTACAGATGCCCACCATCGATTCGTTACTATACTAAGACGATTGATTGTTACAATACCACAAAATAAACCAATCCATATGAGAAGGCTTCACAAGAAGAAAAAAAGCAGATGATCCCTTTTTTATTAGCAAACAAAAAACAAACGTTTTGTCTTTACCCATAAGGAATTGGATCGAGTGCTTGATTTGGAAAACCATTCGAAGCCCATCGACTAACAACGGATAGATCACCAAATACCCATTGAAGATTAAATAATAAACAACCAAATCCAATACCAACTAATAACCAATTTGGCTGTAAAATATTCTCACGTGATGTTGAACGTAATGGATTAGTTCCTAAAAATAGAGAAAAGAACGAAACGATGCAATTAAAAAACTTTCATTCACTTAACTCACACGACAAAAAAAAAGAAATTAGATAGCATACCAAGTGTAGATTTTATTGAAGATGAACCAATTGATAGTGATGGAAGTAATTGCCACATAGTATTGTCTACGAAAGAAAAAATAAATCAATTTTAATTCATGATAATTCTTTATAAATCACATTAACTGCTTAGATAGTTCATTCTCCTTTCCATACGAATAAAATTACGCCAATCATTCCGAACAATAATTCGAAAAACTCCCTAAGTCATTTCAGACTAAATTGAACATACCTACCCTTCATTATGTTTAAATTTTTTACAAGAGTTAGTTTTTTGAATAAGCCCTTTTAACATGGACACGTGTAAAAATGTTGGTACTTTCAGCTGACTATTAATCAAATAGAAATACTTAGAAAAATCTGCCTGCGTATAAATTAATTTTCATCGAAGATCAAAATTTTTGAAACACCTTATATATATATCAAAGATCTCCATTGCGGTTGAAAATCTTCCGCTACTGCACCGTCTTGAAAATACTAATGCTTTAAATCAACTATCCCAAATGAATTTGTCATACCTCTACAAAATTGATCAAAAATTGCTCCAATTCCAACAATAAAATGTATTAAATTTGCAATAACACTCGACCATGCTGGCATAATACTAAAAAACCAAATACGGAAGCTGAGAAAGAAAACAAAACTAATTGTCAATGTCCAAACAACAATTGATCTAAATATAAAAAACAACAACAACAAATTAATTTCTATTATTCAAAATGCAATCAAAAATATTGACCTATATGAATAATATCGTGAATTAAGACTTGTACAAAGATCAATCATAACAGCACAAGTACCACATGAAAGTATTAATAATCGAAGTAGAGGATCTTCTAATTGAAATGATAATAAACTAAGAATTACAATAATGCGAGTTATCAATTTTCCAATAGTGCTCTAGACAAAAAAAAACAATTTCACTTAGACGATTCAATAAACGAACCAAAACTAACTTGTGCAATATTATTCACGAATGAAGGCCAAAGTATAATTGGACTTGCTAAACTAAGTATTAATATTTCATAACCATGAATAGCTAATTTCACCATAGGAAAAAACATAACCATGGGACCGATACCAAAAAAAATTGTCCAAAAGATATATCCTATATAGAAAAAAATACTGTTCTCTTGAAATAATAACAATTGCAAAGAGATCTTACCGAAAAATAATTCCCAAATAAATATACGTGAAAAATTTTTTTCCATGATATTTTGAATTTTTGATGGAATTTTTTGTGCATCACCAAATTCATAATTTTCAGCAACTTGTTTTCGATTTTTTATCAACATCTTTTCTTCTTCTTGATCTGAAGTTTTATCACTAGTTTTACTTGCTACTTTCTGACGTGAACGAAGTGTAGTATCAGCCATCTAAAATAAACGCTCGATCAATGAAGCGAAACCATCATAAAGATTACAATTGTTTAAATAAACAGAACATTCAGTCATTCATTCAAATTATTTTATTGAATTTCAGTTCCGTACGATAATTTATGGATTTTCAAAAAGTTTACTCGAAAGATCAAAAATCAAAGTCATGTGTAAGTAAGAACAATCGTTTTAAACTTTTATTGCACCATCGTTTACCAAGCATTTGTTTTTTTGTCTAGTTAGTTTTTAAATTAATGTAGATAAGCGACATCTACGACATGACAAGAATTTTTCGTAACACTGATAGTATATTATAAAAATAATATTAGTGCCTAGAAGTATCACCAGGATTTTGATAGTGGGGATTAAGAGGCTGAACTTAGCTAGGCTCTTCGTTAGGACGGTGGACTTCGATGTTCAAGCTCTGTCTGGTTGTGTGGCTTCGATGGTGAATGGAGGGTTTCAGCTGAATATGGGCAAACTGGTCCTAGTCGTGGTTCTATCACGACTACAAATAAAGGCTCCCGCTCATGTCTAAGTTCAATACCTACAATGGTTACGCCACTATTAGCAACGAACTTGATTAATTAGTTTTAAATATAAATTATACTCTTATAAATGTTTTTCGTGAATATTCTACTGTTTCACCTTACGCAATATAATTTTGACATCAATTTTTATATCGAGCAGTTTTTTGTTATTTATAGTGTTCATTAGATAGAAATACATTGTCGTATTTGTTGAGATATAAACAAATATGTTTTTTTTTATGTTATTCTATCAAGCAGAATATCAAACACAATCCGATAGATGAGTTATGTTTATTAAGAAAAAAATATGCGTGCATGCATGGATGATGTATGAAATTATTCAACATGACCGTAAAATACTTTTTTCTTCGTCTTAAAGAAGTTCATTATAGACGTAATGAATTCCTAGTTTTTTCATATAGAAAAATAAAATGAAACATTTTCTAACATATAATTCTCAATAGTAATATCGTTTTATTTTTGTTATTGTCATAGGAAAATCTCTGGAGATTATAATTGGCTGTACAAATAATGTCGAGCTCGAAAACCACATCGACTTTTACTTCTTTAAAATAGCGGCCTTCTGTCTACTAGTTAAAAATGATTGTCGTGTAATTACGATAAAATATATATTGCTCCATAATTATATGTCGTTTCTAATCTAACTAAGTTCGTCGTATTGTCATAGTCATTTTCATTATTAGATGTTTTATTTTAAAGAAAGGGTTTCCAGAAATTTGTTTCGAGGCATTCAATAAAAAAATCTATTTCTTCAGAAAATTTGTCAGCATGCAAAATTTAAAAATACATTTAAACATGTTCTATATTATTTATATAGATATAGCAGAAATATCTTCGAATTGACTAATTTATAAAGTTTCATTTACAGTACAAAGTACAATTTCGAGTTTATAAATAATTTTCATATCGAGATTCTATAAAAAAAAGAAAAGAAGAAACGTTTACAGCTATTAAGTCTTCCGGGAAATATGTTGTTTTCTTTGTTTTCAAGCATATTTAACACCTTGACTCTAATGAGAAAGCAAGAGATGCCTATACAAATAGCATCGTTACAATATCATCGATGATTTCAGACATTTGAATAAGAATCGTAAATCTTTAGAAATAGTCATCAATAAATATGTGATCTATTTCTAAACATATTCTTTCATATAAAATGATTATAGACGATTGATGATTGTATCGTTACTTGAATAACAAATATATTTAAGACTTCGTAATCTTGTTTTTATATGACGTCCTACTTCAATCAATTTAGTATTTCGATGAAGGACAAGTAAACATTTTATTTTTAAAAGCCGGAAGATTGATCGACGGCTTAATTATGACATTCCGTTGTATACTGTTATTAATATATTAAAAATAGATATATTATTTTTCATTGTTAAAAAACAGATTTTATTTTACCTATCATAATAATATTTTGACAGAATGTACTTTAATTTCATACTACTGTTCCTACTAATATTATTATAATTGTAAGTATTTTTGTTTGAGAAAGCGAATCAATATATATAGATATATATATTTGTATAAATTGATTTTGGCTCGGCTAATGAAGTGTCCGGAGCGGATGCAGTGATTTTTCCTCGACTCTTATGTGTCAATCGTTATTTACAGGAAAACATGCCCATACACATAGTGACATTTCTATATGAACGAATAAAAAGAAGAACTCGACATAACTTACTTGTCATTCTTTCATAGATCTAATCGAACTTATTTCTTAGCAATCATAACAACAGTATTCCTCTTTCGACATATAGATTCACTTGCGCAGCAATGCATCACTAATGGATAGAGATAAAAAAGATCTTATACAAGTATGTTGAATAAGTTTGGTCTCGTTTTCTCGTCCTGTTTTTTTTGTGTAAAGTAGCCTATCGACATTATAACGTCATATACTCATAGGTTTCTTTTGTTTGAGACTGTTTTGCCGAGTAATTGGTAACTACTCTTATTCTTTTTCTTTTTATTCTACCGTCATAATCAACGCGCTATACTTTTCAAGAGTTCCATTTTTATTCTTACTCTTTTTTTTTCTTTAAGTTATTTTTTTCTATCTTAGTCAATCAGTATTGTAATTGAGAATGATCAATTGACTTAAACGTCTTATTCTGTAGGTTTTTCTTTTTATGTACTAATGCGTTAAGATGTCAAACTAAACGACTAAGACTATAAAAGCAACCCCATATATATATATATATATGTATGTATATATTAGATTAGATTAGATTAGCAAGACAAATGACAACTTGTGTTCATTTAAAGTTGTGTATATTTACGAGTAGTGACGCGAAACTTGTTTGACGAAAATACGATTTGTCTTGGCGAATACTGTCTTGTTTTTTGACAGTGCAGAAGGCCTTCTTCCTCTCTGTCTCCTACTATTTCTCTCTTCTCATCAACTTCTAGACAGTCTTCTTTATTAAAATGTTTCTATGCTTTCTGCTCATTCCGACATACCACCGACGGCTATTCTCGAGAAAAAGGCAAAAAATGAGTGAAAGCGAGTGTGTGTCTCTAGATATGAGAGTGACGACGTCATCAGTGATCAGTAAGATAGACAGACATTATAGCTAAGTGAACAATTGTATCGCAAGTCGTTTTGTTTTCTTCATTTTTTTCCTATTACTTTTTGTATATTTGTCGACGAGTTAATAGTTGCGACACTGTATGTTTACAGAGTTTCTTTATAGTATCGTCCCGCCTTAACACTTTCTCATTCTCTTCATTCGGATTGTTTAGTTCGCGATTGATTGATTGCATACTGACGTATAGAAAGAGACCTACAAGCGAGAAGCGAACAGGAAAAAAATGGAAGACTTCCCTGGAACTGACGAGAGACAAAGCGAAGGAGTAAATTAGATAACACAATAGTATGAGATGTAAATCAATGAAGAGAGCGAACATTCACACGTAGAAAAGAAAAATATTCTCAACATCTCTTCGTATTATGCACACGTCTTTCTATTTAGTTCTTATTGTATTTGAATCACTGTTTTATGTTTGTTACATTCGAGCAAGCAGAAAATTCTCAAATGAGTTTAGTTAAATATGTTTCGATTCATTCAAGATTATCTATTCATGTTTTTTTTCTCATTTAGCTAATATTATTATTCAACTAAAGCTAAAATTGATGATGATGATAATTATTAGTATTTTGTTCTTTTTTTTTCTTTTACTATTTTTAATTTTTTTCTTGTTTTGTTTTCTTTCATTACATAGATGAGTTGAATTGCAATGAATGGGCACCGAATCATTTCGATTATTTTTTGTTCTTATTATTGTGTTGTTATATTCTGCACTTGCCGATTATTATTACCATCATCATGTAAATGCTAATCGACAACGTATTATTCTCAATGGTTTATTTACACATTCCCAATATCCATCAATACATTTTGCTGTTGAACAAGTCAATTCACAATTATTATCACAAATAAATCTTGAATTTTACCTGAATGAAACTAAAGGATTTATTCATGTAGGTTCTTCAAAATGCTAAATATTTTTTTTTTAAATTTTAGTTTTTAGTGTGATGTTGGTACCAGTGTAAAAACATTTTTTGATATGATTAATCAATCATCATTACCATTAAGTGTTTTATTTACAGATGCTTGTCAAAATGTTCTTAGTTATATATCTGACACAGCAACTTATTTTCGTTTACCTGTTGTATGTATTTTAATGGTTTACGATAGAATTATTATTTGTTTTTATTTAGATTTCATTTACTGATATTGATCTTTCATTATCAGCGAAAGATCGTTATCCATATTTCTATCATATTGTGCCATCAGATCATGCTCATAATTTAGTTCGTAAACAACTATTACAATATTTTAATTGGACACGATTTGGCTTAATTTATCAACATGGTTCAAAATATACATTAGTGAGTTTAATATAGAAGAAATTAAAATGTAATAATGTAGTATTTGAGAATAAATAAGAACAGAAAAAAAGATTTTTCTACAATAAATCACATCAATGTTATTGAATTGACACTCATTTTTAGTATGTTAAACGATGATAGAATAATTAGAATATAGCAAATCAATAAAATTAAAAATAACATTACTTACGAATCTCATGAATTATATAAGAATGGTTTCGAGTCAACTTATGTAAATCTTTAAGACTTTTTCTTTGAAAAATCTTTTATATTTTTCTTAAGGATACTTTGACATTATATTCCGTATAAAAATAATCATAATAAGGTCTATTGTATCATTTGATATAATAATGTTGAGAAGCATTTCCTTCTTCTATTTGTAGACAATATGAGAGTAATTTGATTGATATCTTCCCTATTTTCTGATTAATAGTTTATTTATCGGAAGTGCAGACAATATGACTAGAGGAAATAATTATAAAGTCAATAAGATAGAAGAAAGTCTTTTTTTAATCTGGTGACGTTAATATAGAATGTATATTTTGTTTCGACGGATTGTTATTAATTTTTCTCATAATATAATCTTATCGTATTTAATTGGCTAGACTTGTTGATGTTTTGCAGCAATGAACAATCTCTAAGTGGAGCTATATATAAATGAATAAATATATATATATACATCAAATGTAATTTCACTTGAAAGAACGTCATATGTTTCCTTTGGGTAGGCAGCTCTAAATTGATGATTAAAAAAATGGATGAGCTTGCTTTTTTAATGCCCCAATGGCATTTTACCAGATTGAATAGTGATTTTCATACAAGGTCATGCTTCTAAAGTATTATTTTATTTCATTAGATAATTGTTCTGTTAGATAAAAACAAAGTACACGCAATATTCTCTAATATCATTCAAAATATATGTCTGATAGTTGTCATGTTGTAAAAGAAAAGTATATAACCATGATATTCTACTTTTTATATTATTTGTGTATCGATGTAAGTTTCTAACGAATAAAGGTAATCAGAATAATAGGATTACTACAGGACAAGATTAGTCCTTTTGATATAAAGCTTAAGCTGTAGATTAAAACTAGGAAAAATTATTATGTTTGTATTTCTATAAAATTTACTGATGCTTATCTTAATAAAATGTCAAATAAATAATCAAGTAATCAAATATTTACACAGAAATGATTTTGATTCGAATTGACTGATATATAACTCACCTTCATTAACAATAGTTTGATATAAAAATAACTTTTGTAATAAACAATTCGACTTCAGTTGATTACAAAAGCATTATGGAAAATTTCATACAATTAGTCTATTACCATTCTACCTATTGTATCTTAATTGTGCTTACGACATACTAATATCCTGCGATCGGATCGGATACACGCCGCTCAGGTCAGTCCGGAGCATGACTCCGATTGCTAACTCACCGAGTCGCTTCGGATGCCGGAGTATGGAAAAAAAAATGTTGGTTCGAGCCCCGGCTATAATCACATACCCGAACACGACCCGGGAATTAATGAGCTCTCGACATTTCAAAATATTTTTACTTATTCAAACTGCTAATTTTGTATAAAAACATAAGAATAAAAATTGGTTCAATCATGATTGAATATTTTATTGTACATGAAAACAGGTTACATAATTAGAAAAAGATATTGATTAACTAAAAGAATTTGTTTTTAATGAAAATTCATCTACAGATGATAATGAGTAATATGGCGAAGTAACTGAATTCGTAGAGAGAAAAATTAATTATCAAAAAGATGAATATGTAAAGCATTCATACATCTATTCATAATTGTGACGTTTGACACCAATACTGCGTTCTATTCCAACACCCTCAACAATAGGCAAACGTCCACTTAGCAAAATTAATCGGTTTTTATAAGCACAAAGACACTACGTGAATTCGGAATCACGTATTTTTTTATGAAAGAAACTAAATAGTGTATTTTTTCATATAGAATAAAATTTTTGAAAGCCACATTGTAACTGTGAAAGTATCTGCCGTCTGTTGACTCACTCCGGATAGGTACTGGGTATGAGAAGCCATATCCATGTAAAATACCTATGACAGACTAACAATTTATTAAAAGATGTTCGAAGAAGTCTGATTTTGTCTATTTCTTTTTTTTTTAGGTAGCAAATGATTTGTCAAATTTAACTGCTATGGACAAAAAACAATTTGAAGTAAATTTAACACGTGGTCTTGCTTATCGTCATGGATTAGAATGGTATGCTGATAATGGACAATATATGCAAACATTATTAAAAGATTTTAAAGTAATATGTTCTTTATTATATTCTTCGACAAAAAAAAACAAAACCTTTGCTTTTGTTTTTCTTTTCTAAAGGCTCGAGATGTACGAATAATCATTGCTAATTTTAATCAAACCGTTGCTACGCATATGTTTTGTCAGGTATATATTATGAATATCAATTAAAATTTCTTATTTGTTATCAAAAGATAGGCAGCTCGTGAACAAGTGTATGGTTCTCGTTATCAATGGATTATTCTTGGTTATCCGTCATTATCAACTTGGTGGAATGAACCAACTGATTGTTCAATGCAAGAAATAGTTCGAGCAATTAATGGTACATTACAAACACGTGTACCACGTTTATCTATTGATGATAATGAAGTATTAAAACAAATCTATTGAAAAAAAAAACTTGGCTTTTTTTGTCAAATTATTTTTAGAATCGATCAGAATATATTTCAGAATATATGAAACAATTTTCTGAATTAGAAAATGATTATTTTGATGCTTATGCATATGATACAATATGGAGTTTAGCATATCTTTATCAATCACAATTACTAAGTAATCAATCGATAACTGAAGTATTTAAAAATGTTCTTGAAAATATTGATTTTAATGGTGCTACTGTAAGTGTATTAGAGGAGCAAAACAAAAATATTTATCGATATTGTTAAATTTTAAGGGAAGAGTCAGGTATTCAAATGGTGGACGAATAGGCGAAGTACTTATTGAGCAATTTGTTGGTAAGAAAAATATATTTTTTTTAAATTTTTTTAATAAAATTTCAACATAAAATTTAGCTTGTCGAATGATGAAAGATGAAACATGTACAATTCCATGTTATGAAGAAGAAGAAGATTGTCATTTAACTGTTGTGAAAGTTTTTCTTGCCAAATATTTAGAATCAAAAGATGATCCACCAATTTTATATAAACTTAATCCAATTATGTGGCATGGTTTGTTTCTATTTTATTAAAAGAAAATCTTTCTTTTGTGGAACACAATCTAAAACGAATGTTGAAATATAGGAGTAAAAATGTGAACCTCCGACAGATCGTGCGCGCTGTAAACCAAGGAAATGTGATAGATGCTAGTCAAACATCATCACCATAAGAACGTCACAAGTTCTAACAAAATTTGTTAGTATATGAGCATAGACCATATATGAATTACTTTCTAATTACATTTTTGGTGGATAAAATAATGGGTGGATCGAAATTTTCGAGACAAAATACTTCTTTATTTTTTGATCGACAATTACCAATTTTTTTCCACACTAGAAACATTGTAAAAAGAAATCACGTCAGTAGTATATAACTGCCTTGATGTCTATTCATTAAGATTTCGTCCATTTTGTGGACAAATATCATTTTAAAAACTATTAGAACTCACGATAGTCTCCTTCAAGAGTACACACAATGAAGTTTAGATAACGTATAACTTTTCGAAAATATTTTCCAATACATATCAATTGTATTCACAATAGATTTATTATATTATAGTGTTATATTAATTCAAATAAATGTAGAAACTACTTATATTCAATTAATCGAAACATGTCAGACATTCTTTTTAATTTTTGATTTGTTTAATCATTCTTTTGTGTAATGTTCAAAATATCATAAAACCTCGTATAAAAACTAGGAATAGTGGGAAAGGCATCATCCATAATAAATTTGATTCACTTTTGCGTTCATATGCATACTTTATTTTTTCCATTAACTGAACGTACATGAAGAAGCTTCACGAAATAAATCACAAAAAAGCGTGAATGGAATTCCATTACTATCAATGCAAGCTTGAACACATTGCATCAACAATGGTAGACTTTGCTTCATCTCATGGAACCACATTAACAACATGAGAGAATAGTGAATCACATTGACCATGAATGATTCCTTTTCTACTAGCCCTAGTTTTCGTACGAGGTCTGATGAAATTTTAACTTGACTATTGCACAAAAAATTACTTCCGTGATGTTTTTCAGCAGTTCCGTATTTCTGGTGTACGAACATCGATTTTATGTAAGTCTCATTTCGATTCGCTTGATCGCATTACGTTTTGAATATTATTTGGATCCATATTTGGACAACAGACGTTCTTATCGACAAATGATGTTCACTTTTGCATATGTTATAATAGTGATTAAAGTGTGTTAAGAGCCGAGATTTTCGAAACAATCTTTCGAAAACATGCGAGTGCATTTTATGAGTCTGAAAAACAAGACATTGCGAAAATTTCAGAGCGTCTCTTGTCAAAACTTGCATTGCGAGTAGACGCCTTGTGGACGACTAATCATTAAGACATCGTTTCGAAAAAAAAAAAAATGTTTCCTCTTTCTTCTAGTATATTTGAGATAAGTATTAATTCTCTTCCGCAAGTTGTTTTGCGCTCTGAAAATCTATTCAAACTTTATTTACAGGCTTTTCATAGGTTGACTTATAACTTCTAGAATACGAGTATGATAAAAATTTCCAACATAAATTCAGAAATTAGAGCAAATTCTGATGTTAAATCAATATTTTATAGTTTCTGCTCATCATCTTCACTAATTTAAAAAATGATGAAACATTTTTTTCTTAAAAATTTCATTCCATTCATTAAAAAGATAACGAAGAAATATGTCCTCAAATATATAGAATCAAATAATTTGCCATTGATGAGCAAGAATAGTTGCATCGTGTTTTACATTTTAATCCTGCAGAGTTTGTGCTAACAGTTTTCTTTTTGTTAAGGAAATGGTCCACCACGAGATCGAACCAATCAAACAATTCAATTCGAACATATTTATTTGTCTGTATTTATATCAATATCAATATGTAGTGGAATTGGACTGTTTATATCATGTACTTTTCTTGCTTTTAATATTCATTTTCGATCACATAGGTAAAAGAAAAAAAATGAAAATAAAGAATAGCTGAATGTTTTTTTTTTAAATTTCATTTAGATATATTCGTATGTCAAGTCCAACATTAAATAATCTTATTTTAGGTGGTTGTATGTTAGCTTATATTAGTATGATTTTAATGGGTATAAATTCATCTTTATTTCGAATAAGATTATATGTAGAAATAATTATGAATATTATTTGCCCGGTTAGTTAAATAATTAAATAGAAGATGATAAAGATTTCTGTTTTTTTTTTTTTTTGTAAAGATTCGAGTCTGGATATTATGTATTAGTTTTACATTGGCTTTTGGATCAATGTTTAGTAAAACTTGGCGTGTACATTCGATCTTTACAAATATTAATACTACGAAAAGAGTAAAAAATAAAGATATTTAAATTTGAAAAGAATTTCTTAGTAAAAAAAATTTCTTTAGGGTATTCATGATTCTCGTTTACTTGTAATAGTTGGCCTACTATTATTTATTGATTTAATCTTTTTAATTGCTTGGCAAATATTTGATCCAATACAGCGAATACTTGTTTATCCTGCATCACATCGATTAAAAGTATTTATTATATTCACAACGAAAATAATGCTTCTACAGAAAAAAAATTTCTCCTTTTTTTTCTTCTTACAGGACAATCAAGATATAGAAATAATTCCATATCGTGAAGAATGTAAAAGTAAACATATGTCCTTATGGATTGTTGTTTTAATTTTATACAAAGGTTTATTGATGGTAAAAAAAAATCTTTCATCATAAATCTTTTTTTTTTCTATTCATTAAAATACTTAGTTTTATGGTTCATTTCTATCATGGAAAACTCGTAATGTAACAATACCAGCATTAAATGATTCACGTTATATTGGTTTAAGTGTATATATTGTATTTATTTGTTGTACACTTGGCTCATTGGTTGTATTTATACCATCTGAACAAATGCAACTTTCATATTTTCTTAGGTCATTTTTTATTGTTATTTGTACAACAGCTACTGTATGTTTAGTATTTGTACCAAAAGTAAATTTTGAGATTTAATTTAATAAGAGAAGAAGAAAAAAAACAAGTTATTTCTCTTTAGGTTATTGAAGTATATCGTGATCCACATTCAAAAAAAAAACAACCAAAAATTACAAATCGTTTACAAGGACATGTTCGTCCTGTTATATTAACAATAGAACATTTAAATACGGCTTTAGCTGATAATGAAGATTTAAAATTAGTTTTGTCTATGGTAAAAAAGAGTTTATAAAAATTAGTATAACGAGATATCGAAAAGTAATTTGAAAATCGTGAATTAATATTAGAATTTTATGTTCTTTTCGGGTAAGACTTCTGGTTTAAGAGTTATAAACTCACCTTTATCTAAGACCTGTAAAATTGACATTGGATGAATTTCAATGCATCAAAGCGCATTCAAAGTAAAAGCGAAAATTATTTCAAATATAGCAAATAAAATCGTAAACATTTCTCTATTAATGTTCTTTGGAAAATAGACTTGGAAAGTGAGTTCGATCATTCCTGGATGATTGTTCTGAAACTTTTAACTCTTATATCACTTTGTATGGAATCATTTAGCTTTTTAATTCTATGCAAAAAAAAATCGGTAATATAACCAAGAGTACCCCTTCCCCTATTTTCATTTTTTCTCAGCGAACTCTAACGACTCTCTTCGTTTTTTTTTGTTCAGCAAACCCTCTCAACAAAAATCGACTCCGCTCGCGATCTTGATGATTTTGGAACACTCCTGAATATAACATATTCAGGAAATGAGATTATTGCTGTAAAAAAAAAGTCAATTTTCTCTGTTTAAACTTAATTCTTACGCCTCTAAAAGGTTGACTCATGACTCCTAAACCAGAAGTCTTAGGGAAATATTGAACTTATACTCATAAAAAATACGAAATCAGTATTTTAAAATTTCTGCGAGTTTCTTTAACAAGCTAAAAAATGAACAACCGTTTTTGTGAAATTACTTTTCAATAACCCGTTATTAAGACTTTTCTTTTTCAATTTGGTTTTTATGTAAATAGCAAGAACAAACTTTAAATCGATTATCAGATCAATTAAATAATCCACAAACTGGAAAAAATATCGTTACCGGTAAGATATACGTTGATTGAATAATATTTGATTTCATAATCTTATAGATGTTTTAAATTATTTCAATCATTGTAGAGTCCATGCTATTGATTTAAAAATCATTTGAATTTTGTTAAACAAAATTTTCTCTACTCGATTAATTGTGAACAGAGAAACCTCTGTAGCTAACTCTTTGCCATTTCAATGTTTTTGGCTTATAAATACAACATTGTGTTCTAATGGAAACCTTCAAAAGGATTTGAGTTCCTGTTGATATTTGACTAAGCTATCGGATTATGATCTGAACTTCTGCGCATGGAGAGAACTCAATTAGACCGGCTATCATAAAAGAATTCAGAAGTTTTAAACAAAGTACCTTCGAGATATGAGACTTTCAAGATACAAACCGTTCTCTATTTAACAGTGTATAGAACATGCATTTTTTGAAAGTTTCATATCTCGAAGAGACTTTGTTAAAAACTCTTGAATTCTTTTTAAGGAAGCTAGTTTAATTAAGTTTTCTATATGCACCGAGTTTTAGATCTAAATTCGAAACTTCGAGTTTTGCAAAAACTTGAGATCCTCCACTAGACAATAGACATATTAAGGATTCGATAGGTTGGTCAAATAGTCGTAGAAACCTAAAGTCTTTTATGATTTTTATTAGAACCCTATGCAGTACCTATAGGTAAAAAGCCATTGAATCTGAAGGAAGCAGTTAAATGGATTCACTTATTAGTTAAACCTTAAGTATAGCGAAATTAAACTCTGATGATTTTTCGGAAGATTCTTTCAATACATGTGCTCTTTATTATCCTTTTGTAGATCCTGAACCNCAGATTCAATGACTTTTTACCTATAGATACTACCTAGTGTTCTAATGGAAACCTTCAAAAGGATTTGAGTTCCTGTTGATATTTCACTAAGCTATCGGATTATGATCTGAACTTTTGCGCATGGAGAGAACTCAACTAGACCGGCTATCATAAAAGAATTCAGAAGTTTTAAACAAAGTACCTTCCAGATATGAGACTTTCAAGATACAAACCGTTCTCTATGAACAGTATATAGAACATGTATTTTTTGAAAGTTTCATATCTCGAAGAGACTTTGTTAAAAACTCTTGAATTCTTTTTAAGGAAGCTAGTTTAGTTAAGTTTTCTATATGCACAAAGTTTTAGATCTAAATTCGAAAATTCGAGTTTTGCAAAAACTTGAGATCCTCCACTAGACAATAGACATATTAAGGATTCGATAGGTTAGTCAAATAGTCGTAGAAACCTAAAGTCTTTTATGATTTTTATTAGAACCCTATGCAGTATCTATAGGTAAAAAGTCATTGAATCTGAAGGAAGCAGCTGAATAGATTCACTTATTAGTTAAACCTTAAGGATAGTGAAATTAAACTCGGATGATTTTTTGGAAGATTCTTTCAATACATGTGCTCTTTATTATCCTTTTGTAGATCCTGAACCATTCGAACTGGAACGTCTTATTGTATATGATGATGAAGTTGATGACGAGGTTGATGAAGAGGAAGAACCTACAGTTGAAGATGAAAGTAGTGTACATTTTATTACAAACGATAAGTAAGTTTATTTAAAATTGCTCAACTATATTCATTAAATTGTATAATTTCAGTCTTTTGCAACCTGGACGTGTTGCTCGTGCTGTTAGTTTATGTTTATTCAATAAAGTTCCAACAGAACAATTAGAGGGGCCAGAAACGCCTGGTACCACTCGTTATTCAATTCCATCGCATAATAATCATTATCGTGCATCAAAATTAACTTCGAACAGTTTATTTCGACGAGCATGTCAAAATTCACTTAGTACTGATAAAAGAAAACAAAATTTGACAGTCTCAAATAATGAATCATTACCAAAAAAAGTTGAACATCTATATGATGGTTTAGTATTACTTGATGAAGATCGTTTAGATGAGATGATTGAAACTGATCTTGTATCATCATCAAATGGTTAGATAGGTTTATTATTATTTTTTTTTTCTGTTTTGTAATTCCACAATACTATACTAAATAAATATTATTATTTTTCTCTTTTGTTGCATAATTAGTTTAAGAAAAAAAAAAAAGAATCAAAATAATCTAGTTTTGGAACTAGACCTTCATGTTTTGTATCGAAAAACACAACCAGAAAAATTATATTCGATTTTCTGAGCGACTTGACATTCATCAAATTGTACGATCTTCCTTATGTCAATAATTTTATTTTGTTTGAATCGATTACAATAATTTACTAACTGTATTATTCTAGTTAGTTTTATAAGAAAACAAACTTTGAAAATTGAAAGAATATTATTCAATAGAACTATCACTTATCATAAAAAAAAAAGTTTTTTTTCCTTGCTTAAATATTTTAACAAAGAAATTGAGGAACAAGAAAACTCATCAATATTGTGTTCCATCTATGATTTGACTACAATTTAAAAGGAGTGTGAAAGTATACGAGTACAAATTTGGACCTCCTCTTTCACAGTGGAGACAAGTGAGAAAATCGGTTTCTAAGATCTGAACTCAAGTTGGAGCTTGTATTGAAGATGCTAGAAATTTGTATTTAACTGTACCTTGGATTCTGATTACAAACAAGTAGTCATTTTGCAACAGTTAATAAAAAATAGGTAAAATAGGTGAATATCATTAATACATCTCTACTAGTAAAATTCTGTTTCCAATTGAAGTTATAATTATATTTGTTAGATATTATAAGTTTATTCAGCGTTATATATATACTATATAATATAAGCCTTTCGAACTTCCTCAAGTTCCTTCCGCTCCACTAGAGCTAAAAAGCTACTCGTAACATACGAAAAAAATAACTGCTGGTATATAATGCAATTCTTTTGCCGGATTTTTCCGGAAGTTTTATTATAATTTTAATTTACTATCGGATACGGCATGCCACTGTGTCATTTATCTGGATGAGCAAAGATGTGGATTCAAACTCCTATGGAGATACATTATGGCACATATAAGCTTCAACATAGGTCCAATCCAATTGACTTTTTATATGATTACTTATCTTTGAAATCGGTGAAGCTTCAAATAAATGATGCAAGCTTAAATATATACATTTTCAAAGTTTTTACATCAATTTTTCGATTCTAAAGAAAATCCACAAAATATCTTCTAACTTTGGAAATATTATCGGCAAACATTGATAGCTTACGAATGTCTAAAATAATTTAGGTTTCAAGATACTTGTTCTTACGAAATCGAGCTTTTATTAAACGTCGTAGTTCTCCTTAGTTCACTTGAAAGTTGACATTCGAATTTTGATTTCAAACTTTTCACAAATAATTTTCGTAATGGAACTAATTAGTTCATTTTGAAAGTTTCAGTTTTTCTCATGAGTCTATAGTGAAATACGAGTGTTAAAAATTCTGTTGTATAATAAATAAAACAAGTTTTGTGCTCATATTAGTATCCCACAACAGAAACTACTAAGAACGATGAAACTTTTACAATAAATAAGTCTTATTGAGAACATTATTTACGTGAGGTTTCAAGTTGAAAACTGAAAGTCAACTTTCAAGATGATATGAGAAAGACTATTCATGTAGCTAGAAATGTGAAACTAACGTATTGCAACAATTTGTATTTTTCTTTCTTTTAAATCATTCTGCACAGTCGTAAATGTCCGAGAAGTGACATTTTAATGGTGTCCTTTTTCTCATGCTTCCATTTCGTTATAACAATCTAACGAAAAACATTCGCTAGTGTTTTCTATATAAGTGCATTAAAACTCGCAAATTCATACATTTTTAATCGTATACATTTCGTTTATATAAAGAATATTTTAGTACATTCTACATACTATCAGCTTGCCTTATTGGTAGTAACAACACATCAAAAACGAATGTTTCAAATATTATTAATTAAATTAATATTAAAAATAAGAGATTCTATGAAATAAAGGAGCTAGAAAAAGTTATGTGATGCCATATTTTTCTAAAGAATATATTTCTTGTTATGTAGATATCAATAACTGAGTTTCAGCTGTTGATAGAAGTTATTCGAGTGTCTTTTAATTTATCTTTCAATGGAGTTAATAAATTTTTAGCGAAGACGATAGCATAACCCTTCCAGTATTTAAATTACCATTCATTCTAAGTCTAACGAGTAGTATTTCAAGCTTTGTTAAGAAATTCTTAACTCTTTTTTTAGGACTAACTGAAAGACACTAGAATAATTTCTACGAAGAACTACAACTCGGTTATTGGCATCTACATGAAAATGATACTATTCTTTAGAAAAATATGACATCGCAAAAACTGTTCTAGGCTCCTCTACCTTTGATTTTTCTATAGATCACTATTTTATGAAGTTTCTTATTTACTAATGAACACTGCATCTTATATCATACCTTGTAATGTGGAGTTATATTGAATGCAGTCATTCTTCACTAAACTTAACTACAATATCACTTAATTTAGTATTTTCAATATAATTATTTCTAAGACTTGAATATTGGAGAAAAAAAATTAATCGTGCGTACTTGACAGAGAATTTGAAATAGAAGGATCGTTTATATATTTTTCTAACTGAACAAACTAACGATCTGATAATAACAATCTCTTCTTTCTATCCTATACATTTTCACTGGATTTCTCTTCACATATAGATAGTTTTATATATGATTTCAATGACGAAAACTATTCATAAATCAGAATATTTTAATGTGATCAACAAAAACAAGAGGAAGTAAAACAATTTCATATTACTTCTCGTATCCGGATAGATGAAATGTTCTATTGTTTAGTAGATTATTATAGTAGTGCACTAATCTATAAAAAGTTGAAAGACTCATATGATTCATTATACTTGTACATATAGTATTTTTTCTGTATTTGATAGGACTTTAACTGAAAAAGTAGAAGCAAAAATTAACTAGATCGAGAAAAAATAATTTGTGCATGCAGACTATAATGTCGCTGGACGACATATTAGTAAACTAAAGGGTGACCAGAAAGTTTCGACCCTTCTCAGTAAATCGATGATATCTACAACAAACTTCTATGAAGTTATTGATCATATTATGTCATTTTGTAGAGAAAGATTAGAGCTATATTCTGAAAAAAAGATAGTTCGAAATACATAAATCCATAACAATGTTATGGTCATTTTACTAATCTTGAGTGAAAATTTTTACGTTACATTTTTTGAAAAAGGAAAAACATTTCGAATGTTTGAGTCGTTAAAGTCGAGCAAAATATTATTTTCTACATGTTTTTAATTGATACTTTTATATGGTTCGATAGAGTTCGACAAGCTCTACAAGAATATGAATATCAAGAATAATTCGAACCCTGTTTTCAATGTAAAACTCGGAAGAAACCACTCAGATTAATGAAAATCTCGCATATGTTACATGAGATAGTATGCTTAACTTTCAATAACTTTATTTGATCGATTGTTAATTGATGTTTCGAGATGCATTGTCATAAACTGAAGCTGAAAATAAGATTTCCGAGCTACATGAACAGATGGAACACTCAACCAGCTGAAGCTATTCAAAGCTCAGCTTACTCTTGGGAATATTTGATATATGACATTTTTATTAGTCTTTCTGGTTTCCTTCAAGTTTTATATTTGAAAATAAGATCAGAACTTTTCTAAAAATTCATATTCTCGTAGAGCTTAGCGAACTCTATCGAACTATATAAAAATATCTAGAAAACAATATGTCGCTTAGGATGTTACAAGCAATTTTTTGTTTTTGAAAAAAATGTCACTTAGAAATTTTCACTCAAGATTAGTAAAATGACCATAACATTGTTATGAATTTATGTATTTCGAACTATCTTTTCTTCAGAATATAGCTCTAATCTTTCTCTACAAAATGACATAATTTGATCAATAACTTCATAGAAGTTTGTTGTAGATATCATCGACTTACTGAGAGGGGTCAAAACTTTCTGGTCACCCTTTAGGAGCTTCTTTACTATTATATATGTGTAATAAGAAATGAGAAGAAAATGTGTCAACTGAATGAAAAATAGAATAAGTTAATAAATGAATATAATCGTCGCTCTCTATCTCAATGTTGTTGAGACAAACAAATAGAGAAGATCGATGGTATTAGTTAATGTGACTTCTCATAGGATTGGATAAATATATTGTGATAAAAGATCTTCGTTTATATATTCTACATTAAATGACGAGAAGAATAATATTTCGAAAAATAAACTCATGAGTAGGTCAAATTTTCTGGAAAATATTAAACATTTAGAATAATTATTAACAAAATGATTAATAGAATGAAAATTTTATTTTATGTCGTCTCTTTTTTAGCAATTGCAACGCGGTTTTACCATAATCGAACATATGGGCACTCTTTCTGATAGTGTACTTATTTGTAAATATATCTTACTTTGGTATTTGAAGTACTTAATGAGAGAATATTGCAAAATAACGCAAAAATATCAATCATCTTCATTATAGCGCAATAAAAAAAAAAAAAAAAAAAAAAAAAAAATAAATTGTTTATCAATCATATATAATCACATTTATCATTATAAAATTCATCAATATTTTCATAATAACTTATTTCACCTTTTCGTAGATTGATCAATCGCTGACATAATTCACACATACGTACACGTTCTAATGCTTTACCATCAATAATAATTTCATAATTTTTTCTCCATTCATGATATATTGAAAATAAAGTAATATTTGAATGAATTTCTTCTAAATGAGTCGCAAGTGCATTCATATCTTTATCAAAATCGTCAATATGTATAAATGAATCTTTTGGTGCTACACGATTATAATCACTTCTTTCCGGCCCATAAACAATTGGTATAAGACCGTAATAAAATGCTTTATAAAATTTTTCAGTTATATAATCTCGACATGTATTCGATTCAAAACCTAAATAAAATTTAAACATTGACATATAATCATATTCACATTGACTAGATGAGCCACATAAATGAATTGGATAATAATCAACGCAACG